AAGGGAAAAAAGAAATTAAGCAAGTTTTTGGTGAAAATGAAGCATGTGTGTTGTTCTGGACGCTTTTCATTCATGCCTGAACTCACATTTGAAGCGTTGGGTTTGTGTGTTTTGGGGTTTTTTAACTCTATTACTTTTCATTATACATGCAAAACTCAATATGGCTCAGTATTGGGGTTTTTTTTTCCCCTAGGAAACTCAAGGGAAAAAAGAAATTAAGCAAGTTTTTGGTGAAAATGAAGCATGTGTGTTGTTCTGGACGCTTTTCATTCATGCCTGAACTCACATTTGAAGCGTTGGGTTTGTGTGTTTTGGGGTTTTTTAACTCTATTACTTTTCATTATACATGCAAAACTCAATATGGCTCAGTATTGGGGTTTTTTTTTCCCCTAGGAAACTCAAAGAATTTTTGCAGACCTCTTCAGAGTGAGAATTTTTTTGTTTTCCCTTACAAATCCACAGACAACTTTTTATGACAGAACAATAAAAATATCCCCACATTTTTAATGCTTGTTTCAGAGAAACAGCAGTTGAGAAGTCAGTTACCTTAGTAACAGCTAAAGGCACACAGTGGGGAAATGCTCAACTTAATAATCAGTACTTAAAAATCCAGACGGAACCAAAAGACAGCCCGCTTTCTCAAAGCCACACTTAGTGTTAAATTGGCTTTTTAAATAATGAAGTGCCAATCTGAGGAAAGAAAGGTGTGCTTGAGCATAGCAATTTAAAAAGTAACATTTTTTTAAAAAATTGCTAACAGAAAAGATAATATATATTAAAGATATTTCATACAGAGTCCTCTTCCAGATGGATTTTAATGGATAAACTACATTATCACAGATCAAGATGTTAAATGCCAGTTCCCATCTACACATACCAATAGTTTTTTAAGAGCCTCTTTGTTGTACATATAAATTATGGTCCTGAAAATGCCGCTGAAAGACCATTATCCCCTAGAGGAACCATTAACCACATTTTGTAATGGTGATCAGCAGCAAAATCATTGCGGAAGCGGATTCCGCACCAACCTGTCACTCAGTCCAAACAATAGGCATTGGTTTAATCAAACTGTTGGGAATTGTAGCATTTAACTGAATAATTTACAGCAGAGAGAGGTAGCGACCTGAAGAGCCTGAGAGGAAACTGTTGGCCTAAAGTGAATTCTGAAAAACAGCTCTTCTGTTAAACCTGCCTTACAGCAAGACTGAATTCTGCTTTTTTTTAAATTTTTAAACTGTGATGGCTACTATAGCATGGAAAAAAAGCTATGAGATGCGATTAAGAAACAAAATTCAGAGCGCTGCAAAAATATCCCCTTGGTAAAAACGTGAGAAGAGGTAGGCACAATAAATAAAAATATCGTAGATGAACGTGGGCTTGGGTGCAGGCAGCAAAACGGTGGCGTGGTCCTTGCTGTCTGCAAAGGGGAGATGAAGGCACCACTGGACATCTGCAGAAGATGCAAATGCTCGAGGACTGCATTTTGGAGGTAGTGCTGGTACTTTACAACCATCAAATTTTCTTCTGGAATTAGTTGGGTGATGGTTAGGGGGAAAAAAAATAACTTCTCCCTGGGAACAGCTGTGCTAAACCGCAGTCCATTTGACACGAAGGACTCGCCCACCGGCACAGGCCAATACAATTCCCCATAGCACTCAGCTTTTTTCATTAAAAATGTGCTTTTTAGGATAGTAATATACATATATAGTACATACAGGGCTATTACAGTTTGTACATACATGGATTACATACATGATGTTTAAATCAAAACACGCTTCTTATCTCAAAAGGTGACGGTGGCATGGCAGGATTTTGTGTATTTGCAAGAGACTTCATGTTTGGCTTTAATTCTCTGAGCAGACAGGGTCCCCGATACTGAATTTGGGTATGATTTCTACCAACTAGAAGGAGTCAGATGCAGAGAGGTGATGTTTTTTAAACAAAAAAAAAAATCATCCTGCAATTGCTGAGATTTCAGGAGCTGCAAGCACAAAAGCAGGTGAGATAAGGTCTACTTAGACCAGACCATTACGGAACTGGAAAAATGCTGGGATGAATGGGGCCCTGTCGCTGCTCCCAAACCTCCTCACCACGTTTTGGCACACTGAGCTACAGCAGAAGCATTACTGCTCCCAGCAGTTTGGGGACTGATGGCTGTCGGGATCTTTTCGGCCTCAAGAACCCACCTTTTGCCAGTGACCAAGGATTCAACGTGTCGTGATAAATACCAAGAAAAATCAATGACTGCTTTTGTGAGGAGCTTTCAATGTCTATGTGGTGAGGTCAGAGGGTTGGTTTGGTTTAATTTGTAAGTTGGGTAAAAAAAATAATCCTAACAGAATTTGAATTGATTGCAATTATTTGTTCAAGGTTGTTTTGACAAAGAGTTTGTGTTCACTCTTAAAGAAATGGCTTACGTTACTAACACGCTATCTTACAATTTTGTTGTGCTAAAACATTTCATTGCTTATCCCCTTTTATTTTTATTTTTATTTAATTTTTTAAAAGTATTCTTTATTTATCCAAGCCCTGTATTTGCATGACAGGTAAAATTCTGGATGCTGATTGAACAGAACTTTTCCAGGGACCCCAATATTAAAGTGGGTTGCCTTGGCATGTCTTATCCGTGCACAAAACTGATACAGGCCATGTAAGAGGTCCAAGAACCTTGATAGCCACTGGATGAAAGCTTTTGACATTCCGGGATGCAGGGATGAGGGACAATGAGCTTGTCTAGGCTAGAAGCAAGAGGCCTAAGGCAGTCCCTTGTCTTGAGATTATTTCACCAAGACAAAACCTTTGAGAGTCACTAACGTAAATTTGGCAAAAGGAAGAAAACCCAAACTGCCCATTTATTTGAATTCCCATGAAGCAGATGCACTGGATACAGTTAGAAGGAGCAGTGTTTTTCAAACAAAGAGTTTTTGCCAAATTTCACGCCAGTGGAAATCAGTACCCGGTACCTTAACTGGCATACTTCCACCTTCTGCAATTTACTTTCTGAAATCATTCTTGTGATATTTACTATGAAGAACAAAAGGCAGAATTGTGTGTCCTGTTATTAATACATACAGACCACCTTGTTATCAGACAAATCATGTGTCCTTCAAGCCAGTGTAAGTGTCTCAGATTTTGTTTTTGATTTAACTGTCATTTCTTCATAGACACCTATGAAGATCGCAGTTGTCTCCCACTCACCGTTCTTTTTTTGTTAGTGGCTTTTGGAGATGATTATGGGCTTTGAACTCTGCCAACATAAAATCAAGCAGTAAAAAATAAATCTACATGTCAAGTCTTTTTATTCAGAGCTACAAATTACCAAAATGGAAAAAAAAAAATCACATACAGATCAGTCTCTTTTTTTACTGTACAGTTTAGCATCCCCTTATAACTCTGTATTGGTTCTCCCATAAACCTGTTCGGTCCATATTTAGAGAGCTCCTTAAATACCTTTCGGGAATTTTTCTTTCTTCCCTGGAGGTCTCTGGGTGGGAGATGTGAACGTAATGATACTGTCTTCAGACCTTCTTGAGAAATTCCAAGTTGAGAGATTCCGGGATATGGATCGAGTCCATGGTTATGGAGGATGGGTTGAAAACAAAATAAGCTGGGAACATGTGCTTGAAGTCTAACAGCAGCTGTGGAGACTCATCTCGATCTTGCAAGTGCCTCTGAGGTGTGGGAGAAGAAAACAAATTTACTGTCAGGTGTTGCCTTTTCTTTGCATTTGTCACATTTATCTAAGGTTTGAGAATGTAGACAATTTTAGAGGCAGTGCTTGCCCTGAGCGAGTACCTACAGGAACTTCTACCTGGACTACAGGAAACACTGCTTCAGAAGAACCTGGCTACGTTTTCTACATGGCCACGGAGCAAGACACAAGACTTGGAAACAACATGATGCCCCTGCCCAGCAAGAGCAGCACTGCATGATACCGATGAAGACATATTCCAGGAGTAGCTTGAGTTAGTACTAATAACATCTGTATTAAGTCACTACTATCTCTTCCACTTTAAAGCCCCTAATTTACCTGTATGTTTCGTATGAAAGTCACTGTCACACGTTCTTCAAACTCATTCACGGGCGTGTAGAGATTGAGTATCTTTACGATCTGTTGAAAACAGAATATTAGACAGTCATGAGATGTCTTTTCCAGAATACAAATATATTTTGTCTCGATGTGGCCATAACAAGTCTCCCATGACACAACTGAAGCAGAAGTAGCACACATCTCACCCTGGTGTTGCTTGGCTTGCTGTAAGGTGTGGTAAGCCTCTACGGACCTGTCAAAGTCCCTTTGTATGGCAATGTTTGTAGATTGGGAATATTGGGAATGTTGGACTTGAACAACAGATTTATACAGGCATTCCAGGTGGCTGGCACATGGCAACATGAGAAGATTCAGAATAGGTGACCACCACCTAGTACATCTCATATCACCTCTACAATCCTTGTCCTTATGCTCCCTCGCTCCTGCTTCTCCCCTACTACCCCTTGGCTTCTCTCAAGGACACACGTCCAAAACGTGGAGATTAAGATACAGGAGAAATGATCCCCAAGAATCACTGGAGATCAGCTCACACCTCTGACTTCTCTTTTGTTCTCAAATTAAGGCCAGGCAATCCAGCAGCAGAGAAGATGTGTTTATATCCTCCTGAAATGGAGTCTCAAAGTTTAAGCTCAGATCCAGCCATTTCTCCTGGAGCTCCAGTGCTATCAGCAGCACTGTAAGAGAGGAGCTGTTGTGGTGACCACCTCTGACAGGGGTCAGTGCCAAAAATCAGTTCTGAAAAGGACAAGTTGTTCCTGCCATGGGAATGGCGCTCTGGGCAGTGAAGAGCTGGCACCAGGAGACCTCCCTTTAATGATCAGTATCCTCAGGTGTAAATCTCTGTCCTGTGCCCTACCTGCTGCGTGGTGAGGGATGTGCACAAGGAGCAGATGGCCTCGGCGTCTTGCGGGGTTTTCTTTTTCAGCTGCAGAACCTGTGCTGCCTGAATCAAGGGCTCCAAAGTCTCTGCTGCTCCGCTCTGCTGCAGGTTCTTCCCACGCAACCATTCCTCCAGCTGGCCTATGTTAAATCTGGGGAGGCAGCCAAGATAAAGACATGAGGTAAGATGTAGTATCTCGAAAATCCTCTATGAGGCTCAAGGTACAATGCAGTACTGGTATATGTGGCTTTTTTGATGTATATTTATGATACATAAGGCATGTGACAACCAGACCAGTGCTTAACACTCAACAGGTCAAAGCCAAATTTATGCTCTACATTCCTTAGAAATATATGAGCCATATAACAGCTGACCAGCACAAGGGATATGCTATTCTACAGTGTTCAGACATATTAAAGTTTCAAAAATCAATTAAAATTAATCTTTTAAATGCTTTTAAGTGCTAACAAAATCCTGCAGAGTATCCAAGTACCTTTGTTTGAAAATATCTAAACAAAAACCATCTTTGCCTGTGCTCCCTCCCAGGCTCAAGGAGAACACGCAAAGGATCCACTGAGGGAAGGGGACAGGGTACCAAAGGAAGATTTAAATAGTTTACACCAAGAAGTAAGCTGACAGACTTATGCCAGGGCTGATAAAGAGAAAAGACGAGGGATAATGTGTGCAAGGGGTAGGTCACAGAATCATTGAGGTTGGAAGAGACCTCTAAGATCATCCAGTCCAACCGTCAACCCAACCCCACCATGGCCACTAAACCGTGTCCCCAAGTGCCACATCCAGGATGTGTCCCCTCCAGGGATGGGCACTCCACCACTGCCCTGGGCAGCCCCTTCCAGTGCTTGGCCACTCTTTCAGTGAATAATTTTTTCCCAATACCCAATCTAACCCTCCCCTGGCAAAACTTGAGGCCACTTCCTCTCACCCTATCACTGGTTACATAGAAGAAGAGACCAACCCACCCCTTGTTACCCCCTCCTCTCAGGAGCTACAGAGGGGATAAGGTCTCACCTCCTCTTCTCCAGTTGAACCCCCCAGCTCCCTCAGCTGCTCCCCATAATTTGGGTGCTCCAGACCCCTGCCCAGCTCTGTTGCCCTTCTCTGGCCACACTCCAGCCCCTCAACGTCCTTCTGGGAGTGAGGGGCCCAAAACTGACCCTGAGATTTGAGGGGTGGCCTCACCAGTGCCCAGCACAGGGGAAGGATCCCTGCCCTGCTTCTGCTGCCCATACCATGACTGATACAAGCCAGGATGGCATTGGCCTTCTTGGCCACCAGGGCACATTGCTGGCTCATGGTCATCCTGCTGTCCACCAACACCCTCAGGTCCTTTTCTGCCAAGCAGCTCCAGCCACTTGTTCCCAAGCCTGCAGCGTCCATGGGGTTATTGTGACCGAAGTGCAGGACCCAGCACTTGGCCTTGTTAACCCTCAAAGTTTTGATAAATTCCCCAACAGTGAACACTTTCAAGATTCAGCTGGCCAAGGTGCTGGGTCATCTTCTCTAGACCATGCTTTTGCCAAGAAGGGTTGGACCAGATGACCCTTGAGTTCCTTTCGAACCTCGTATTCTGTAATTCAGGTACATCCCTGCCCCAAACCCACGTCCCACCTTAGCTGCATGCCCGTGCTCCAGGAGCAGACATCCTTTCGCAGGAGAAGGTTGTTCAGGGCAACCGCGTTGATCACGTAGAAGAGCTGCCTGAAGACCTGCTGCACGACGTCAGGGTCCAGGCCCTGGTCACACATGGTGCTGTGGAAGGTGTTCAGCTGACGAATGATCGCATCCAAGGTGTAGGAGTTGTCGCCATCTGCCATGCTGGAGGAACGATTCCTGTAGCCCGTTGATTTGACACTGGAAAGCCCCTGGATACTCTCATATTCCAACACCGCAGACACTGAAAAAGGGGGAAAAAATGAGATAAAAAAACCTTGCATCCATTCATTAGTCACCGGAGGTAAGAAATGCTCCTTCATGGGCAGCGATAAACATGCAGCAGTGTCGAAGTGATGCAATACAATGGATGCTGGGCGGTGTGAAAGGACAACAGACCCACGACTTGCTCAGTTATTGTGATAATATGAAATAGTTGAAGCATTCGGTGTATCTGCAAGATCACACATTTTTTTGCCCTTAGTGTTACTACACAGAAACCACTTACCTCACTGCAGAAACTGGGAACACCTTTCCTTCAAGCTGTAATCAATTCTCCCTCTGTACCCACCACAGAGCTTTAAATTCTGCAGTTTAAGTGATTAATTGGCTCAAAGCATCGGGAGAAATGAAGATAAATGAAAAGTAATAAAATCCCTACATCCTGGCTAACTGATAAAGGAACAGGACAACTTTCTGCAAGGAACAAGAGGAACAGCGACGGCAGGAGGTGATGCCGCTGGAAACAGCCGGAATTTGTGCAATGACATTTGGAGGGTAAAGAAAAAGAGGTTCAGATTCTGAGGAATCCAGGCTGGGAGCTCAAGAAAAACAAAGCAGCTTGAAAATATAAAACACTGAGAAGAGCCCCTCAATTAGCTTAGCAAGGAGGAGGACGGATTTCGCTGAGGAGGTAACTCAGACTGACTCACCCTTGCAAAACAAGGTCTTTATTAGCCTCTTTTTCCTCTTGCCAGCGCTTTCCTCCCTCATGGTGTGCATTTCCACCCATAAAAAGCTCAACCATGAACCTGGTCTGCAGGGAAATGCTGTTCCTGCAGACCCACCAGCACCACCTCACCTCTGGCATCTTTCTCCCATGGAAAGGCAGGAGGTATTTTCTATCCAGGGGAAAAAAAACCCCTTATCTCCATTAATTTCTATCATGGGGGAAAGTAAAAGCTCATTCCAGTCTGCCTTCGTAACTCCAGGTCACTGCTAACACCAGGATCTGCTCCAAACCAAGACTTTTTTTGGGGCACATACACCCCTCTACCAAACTGTAGACATTTCCTCTGGGGACATGTCAAGCTAGCACAGTACAAAGGTCTGAAAAACACTTTGAGTGGATAAATAAAGCAATTAGAAATATCCTTCTGAAAGCTAACGTGGTGGGAACTCACCGATCATGGGCTGGAGGATGCCCTCCATCACCCTAATGAGCTGCTGGTAGATCTGGATGGTGAGGATGCTCACCACCTCGCGGTACTCGGCCAGGTCAAAGTTCTTCAGGCAGTGCTCGTTCTGCTTCGCCGTGTTTTGCTTGGCGAAATTCTGAAGAAACAGAGGTTAAAACACACCCGGTTTCGTTATTCCACCGATTTATAATCCAGTAAAGTCACTGTATTTAAAAAAAAACAACCCTACCTTAGAGTACAACATATCCAGATATGCTACCCAAGTACATTTTTACTCTATTATAGAAAAGGCCAAGACTTGTAAATAATTTCTTTTCTCAGCCATTTGTTCATAAATTATTACCAGAGGGCTGCTTTTTGATGAAAAGCATCATTAAGCTGTGAGTTTTTAATTTTAGCTTTAGCAAAGGGCAACATTTGTATTAATTGCAATATATCTGAAGTAGAAAATGACATTTCACACCCCTGTTTATGCCCGCGAGCTGCAATCATTGATGGGAAACCAAGTATTTTAAGAATAAGGTATTAGAAAGTAATTTTAAGCTTGCAACCTTAAAAAATCAAATGCTCTGACCACATTTTAAACTGATCTCACGCTCAGAAATGTCCCCAAGTACCTGGATTTATTCCCTGCCTTTTGCTGAAGCAGCAGCTGATCTCTGATCCCGCAAATGGAAGCCGTAGCCCTGAGTTCTGGGCTCGGACGTTAATACCAGTTTTGCTGGCAGAAGCAAACGTGACTTAACTTAATTCTGTAATTAACACCAGCGTTTTAATTGCCCGTTCACACGGCCCTATCGATTTGGTGCTGAAATGAGAATTATGAGACTTCTTTTCTTGTTTGCTGACCGGCAGAATGCAAAAACACAGCACGTGCAATTGGAGTTGACTTCAGAAATCCTCCCTTTCCTTGTCTAATAAAAAAGCATCGTCCTCCTTGCACTGGAAGACTGCATTTAATTTGGGTTTTTCCTTTTAAACCCATTTTCTTAAAAACTGGTTGGATTTCAAAACAAAGATAACAGTGTTTTTTGGAAACTGCTCAGAATTTTATTTCCCCTCTATAATTTGCACCAAATTATCAACTCAATTTGCAAACAGCTGCTTCATTAAACATAATAAATTATGTCAAAAAATAAAAAATTTAACTTCGGGGCTTTTTTTTTTTTAACCTTCCCTGCTGGTTTTCTGGGGAGGATTTTTTCTTTAGGTGTAATGTTGCTATACAGGCAGAAGAGGGCAAACAGGAGCATAACTATTTGTTATTATTATGT